CCTGTTCCCTCATAGCCATTCCTTGGGCACTGGAATTGACTTTTCCCTCAGATGCATTGTATCAGAGGTGGTATTCAGCAGATTCTGACCAGTTCTGGAGAACTGGTAGTGGAAATTTTGAGTAGTTCAGAGAACCGGCAAATACCACCTCTGACTGGAGATTTTATAGTATCCTTCCCCTGCCATGCCTACCAAACCACACCCACAGAACTGGTATGAAAAAAATTTGAATCCCTCCACTGCATTGTAGCAAAAACCATAAATCTTCCAGTGTAGAGGAAGGTGGCTTTCCACTGGCTTTCCTCACCTTGTTTCACAGCTTGTCTCTCTTAACACCCTCACTTCTTGGTTTATTGTAACAGGCAACAAAATAAAGTGCTTTGGCAGCTTGTCTATTGCTAGATAAAAAACCCAGCTACTTATTTTCAGTATAGATAATCTTGAGTTTGATCACAATTGGGGTCAGAATTTCCATTGCTAAGCTGTAAAATGAGTCATGCCCGATTTTATGACCTTTTTTGCCATGGTTGTTAATCAAATCACTGCAGTTGTTAAGTGAATCACAAAGTTATGTAAATTTGACTTGTCAATCACATACTTTGGGACACAATTGTTATATCCCAGTTGCCAAGTACCCTAATTTTAATCTCATGCCTCTAGGGATACTGCGATGGTTGCAAATACAAGGATGGGCCACGACTTTTTTTAGTGCTATTGTAGTTTCATATGGTCATTAAATAAATGGTCATAAGTCGTGGATTTCATTAAAGTTGAAACAATTACCACAAAGTAGGTTTTTTAAAGACTTCATGGTGCGGCCAAACTTCATGATACCATTGATATTGCATACCATTGATTTGGCCTCTGTGTTGCTCTTAGAATGGATTATTACACGGCCATGTGTTGAACTGGATACAGTCCTGTGATAGCTTATGAGTGATAACATCAACAATATGCATTGGAAAAGCATAGATGTAGTGTATTGTTGTTTTTTTAAGATCATCATTCCAACCAAATATTTGGCTTAACCAGTTGCAATAAACTGCAAGATATTGTCATTCAAGACAATGCCATTTCATTATATATTCATTATGCTGTTTGTGGGACTTAAATTTACAATCTGGCAGCCAACTTTGGAAGGTTTCTGAAGTTTCAGTCTGTATTAAAAGGTTAAAAAAATATTTCATGTATCAGTCTTTGGAAGATTAGAACCATTTACTCAAACAAGGTCTAGCTGTAGGATTATATTAATATTTCTGTCTGTTAAATAATTTTCAATGGGAGTTACTGTATTGCAAGCTGTACTGGATCAATCAGCAGTGTAAATTGCCCATTAGTATCACCTTAGGTGCCTTTAGTATCACCTTAGATGTGTTTATGCATATTTATTTCATAATTACAGAACACAATATGTTTATCTAAACGTTTCTTAAAGTGCCATTTCTAACTGATAGTATCTTTATTAAATACACATACATGTATTTAATAAAAACACTATCAGTTGCAGGTAGAACAGTTACTCTTCTGAAAAATATATCAATAACCTCTTTTCCTTCCTGATCGATGTGTGCAGTTGCATTCTCACAAGCAGTCTAGTCGGAAGAGAAAAAGAAGAGGTAGAAATTGGGCTTAAGTGACATGCAGCATTGCAGGGTACTTCTGCTAACTACCGGTTGCCAGCAGCTTGATTCTCATTTCTGACTCTGTAAATCACTTAGGCCTGTAAAGCACTGTGAAGCGGTACATAAAGTCTTAAGTGCTATTGCTATTGGGTACTTAACACTAAACTGTATACATTTCATGGGGCTCTTCTTCATGGCAGAGTCATAGTGCCATCCATCAGTCCTCAAGGCAGCAGAAAATGTGAACAAAATAAAATCTTCTGCCCCTTGTGATTCCCCTCCTGCTGCAGGCATGATGCCATGTGCTGTTTGCATTTATGGCAAGCATACGTTGTACAGGGCAAGTTAAGGACATACCTGGTGGAATTCCCATGGCTTTGTTTCCTTCCCCTTCCACCAAACTTCACCCGTTGGCAGGAAAATATCCATCAAATACTCCGAGGCGGAATAGGAGTGAGGTTTTCTTTACAGATTGGTGGGCTAGCAACCTTACCATTTATCAAAGCCCACTCTGGTTTGGCACGGATTACTTGGATATGCTCAAAGCTGATGATCAGGCTCCTTTCGACAGGGACTTAGCACTAATTCTTTTTTCAACACTTTATTGGATTTTCCATTTATACATACCATTACTAATTGAACAATACTGTTACAATATATATACATGTATGCATCCTATCCACTCTTTTCTACTTCTGTACCCTCATAACTATTTATATACATTATTTACATTTTCTATTCTTATATCTATTGTCAATCCGGACATACCATGTTTCCCATATTGTATTGTATTCTGTGTCAGCTTTCCCTTTTAGTGCCATAGTTTATCCATTTCCACGCACTCGAAGATTTTTTTTTAATTATTAAACCTTCGGGAGGTATGGCATTTTTCTTCCAGTACTATGCGTAGGAAATTCTGGTTGCTGTTATTACGTGTAATATAAGATATTTTATCTTTCTATTATACCGTATTTCCCCATGTATAAGCACCCCCTTTGTATAAGCCACCCCACCAATTTTTGGACTGTGAAGTTTTGAAAAAAATATTTTATTAGAGAAACAAGTTATGAAGAAAGAAAATTTACAAAGAAACAAAATTCGATGTCTAGATCTACAACTTCGGTCATGACGCCGAAAGCGGTGCGGGCGACGCTAGCAATCTACGCATCGGAACGAGAGTAGGAACGAAGCATTCAGGCCGATGCCTAGCGTATGCATTTCTATCGCGTACTCGCACTCGTAATCGTATCATCACGTACAATTTTTACAAAAAAGTATAGCATACTGCTGGAAAACCAGTTTATTCCTACTTTATTATTTTATGCATTTTTCACGTATAAAAAGTGTACCTGCTTTGTATATGCCACCCCCCTACTTTTGGGACTTGAAAATTTTGGAAAAAAGGGGTGGCTTATACATGGGGAAATATGGTAGTTTCTTTTAATTATTCCTAAGAGGAATAGTTCTGGGACAAAATCAATTTTATTTTCAATTAACTCCTCTAAGCACATATGAATCACTTTCCAGTATTTCTTCACTTCGGGGCATGACTACCAAGAGTGAAAGGTGGTACCTTGTTGATGTCCACACTTCCAGCAATTTGGTTTTAGATTTGGGTAGATCTTGGCCAATCGTGAAGGTGCCATGTACTAACGACAGAACATTTTGTGTTTCTTTTCCTTGTAAGCTGCCAATTTTGTTATTTTATAATTGGTATTCCAAATCTTTTCCCACTGTTCTAGTTTAATAGAATGTCCAAAATTTCTACCCCATGCAATCATTGATCCTTTTACAATCTCCTCTGCTCTATCCCATTCTAATAAGTGTTTATATAGTATATTTTAGATAATAATTTTTCATCTGCACCAATCAAAATTTTATCTAATTTTTGTAATTCGTTGTCTATTCCAAATTCCTGTCTTTTTTTATATCTTGCTTGTATTTGCATATAAGTCCACCAATTCAATTTTATTCCCTGTCCTTCCAATTCCTGCCTACTCTTTAGAATTCCCTTGTGTGTCTAAAATTTCCCTGTACCTGGCTGTTTTCTTGATCTCCGTTATATTATGGTGGACTACTGCTTCCAAGGGGAATATCTAGTTTGGAATTTTCAGATTTATTTTTTATTTGTCTCCATGATTGTATCAATACATCTCTTATTCTGTGTCTATAGAAGTGTAGATACGGTTTATTTTCTTTATCCCACAGGAAGGCATGCCTAGCACTACTAATCCTGATAGTTTGTCCAAGATAGTCTGATTCTGGAATAGCACTAAGGTGCTCCCCAAAAGAACACACCTGTACAGAACTCTTGTAGCAAAACTGTGAGACTCCTTTTTGACACTGGTTTAACTTCATTCAGATGAGCGCTACATCCACGTTCAAAAAATCTGAACAAGAGACAGTAGCTAGGTAAGTTGCATAATGATTGCAGCAACAAGGAAAGAAAGGCTCTTCTCCTATTTAACAGGTAACAGATAATCAGAGTTGGAAGGGACCTTGTAGGTCATCTAGTCCAACACCCACCCACCCCGCCCAAGTGGGAGACCCTACACCATTTCTGACAAATGGCACTCTTCTTGAAAGTCTCAAGTGATGGCGCTCCCACAACTTCCAAGGGCAAGCTCTTCCATTGGTTGATTGTTCTCACTGTCAGAAAGTTTCTCCTTGTTTCCAGGTTAAATCTCTCTCCTTGTTCAGTTTCCATCCATTATTCCTTGTCTGGCCTATTTCAGTATGGAGTCCTTGGCCACTGCTGTTTCAGGTTGATTTCAGGTCTCTGAACTTGGATGGTGTAGCCAGGACAGGTTTGAAGGAGACTCTGCTGTTGTCTAAAATCAGAAGGAGCCCAAGATTGGCAGACACGAAAGATCGGGATACGCCTGCCCCAGCCTGAAGTGGTGAATGATGATCCCGTCCTGGGAGTGGAGCGGGCGGGGGAGTTTCACCTGACTTTTAATACCGAGGTTGACGGAGTGCGTCAAATTGCACAAAAGCCTAAACTGCTGCGGGTTGTTGCCTGCTTCATACAGTACGTGTTTTTGGAGACGAGATCAAAACAACGTCATGAGGGCCCGCCAGAAAAGTTGCCCGGGCACGTTCTTGGCGTGCATCGCAAAAAGCAGTGAAAAAGGCCGAGCTCTGAAATTGCAAATAATCCGAGCATGCGCTTTGGAGCCCTTCTTGGGCGCAACCTATCCCTCCCCGCCCCCCCAACCCCGATTCGCCGTTTTCCTTTCCTCATCGGCTTCGGGGCGCTGCGAGGATACCGTAGCGAGATTTATCACGACCCGTGCGCGCGGGCGCGGGCGCGCTCATCGCGGCCCGAAATCTCGCGAGAACATCTCCCGCTTTCCCCCTCCCCTTTCCTTTAGACGGGTCAGGATTCTTCGAGATCTCTCTCTGCGGTGCCGCTTCGCCTGTCCCTTCCCCCGCCCCACCAGCGCGAGGAGCCAGTCCGTGTCGCGTGCTGCGGCAGCCCATTTAAACAGTCGGAGCGGCCGCTCCGGGTGAACTGCGAGAGTCTCCCGGCTTTTCCCTCCCCATCTCAGGCGGCGGCCGCTCAGAATTGTTCTTCTTTTCCTCCGCTCGCCTCTAGTTTCTTCGCCTCCCCGGCCCCGTGCGGGAGCTTCTTTTGAAGTAGGCCTCTCGGGCCGCTCTCCGGCGTTTCTCTCCCCTCGTCCCCGAAGGCATCATGTCCGTGGTGGGAATCGATTTGGGCTTCCAGAGCTGCTATGTGGCCGTGGCCCGCGCGGGGGGCATCGAAACGATCGCCAACGAGTACAGCGACCGCTGCACCCCGTGAGTAAACTCCTCCGGCGGGAAGCCGGGGATCAAATTTAAGGCGAAAGCTCCGGGATATGTGAGTGGGGGTGGAGGTGGCGGGGGAAACGCCGCAGAGGGGCCAGGAAGCGCCGCAAACTTGTCAGAGGTGCGGTCCCCCCCTCGAGCGCCGGTGGCCTAGAAAACGCTGCCATCCTCCCTTAAGCTCTACCTTCTCGCTAGAATGGGAAAAGAGGTGATTATCACACGGAGCGGCCACACCTTTGGGTTTGCAAAGCAGAGGGAACGGGGGGGGGGGGGGGCGCCCTTAATTCGGGAGTAATGCGGGGGGCTGCTGCGTCTGGGGGGAATCCCCCCCCCCCCCCTCCTGTTCTCTCTCTCTCTCTCTCTCCCTTCCGCCCCACATGGAGGTGCCCCTGGGAAAAGGTAAGGGAATGGGTTCGGTACCGTCCAGTCGTGGAGCGGACTGCTCTTAAGCAGAGGAAGGGGAAAGGAGCCGCGTTTAAATGTTTCTGAAGCTGCCTCCCCTAAACTGCGGCATGCCTCGAGGGAATCGGAGCTATGATTTGAAAGATCATCCTGACCTAACCAACAGTGGAATGAAAATAAGATAATCTCACCCAGGAGCTTTTACGGTTTATATAAACCATTATGACTATTAAATTTGTATTTGTATATTTTTTTAAAATTTTTTTTTTTTTTGCTCGGTTGGGCAGAGGAGAAGGAAGTTCACATAATTGAAAATAGGCATGGGGGGATAGTGGTGGTGTAGGCTTCATCGAAACTGAAGGGAATTTCATGAGGTTGTCAGTTTGCCTCCTCTAAGTGTAACTTCAAAGCTGCTCTAGAAAAATCCTAGGTAATACTTAAAAAATATGTGCAATGCAACACAGCAGTGCATATACCCTGATGAACAAATATGGTGAGCATAGTAGGACTGGACTTTGGATCATCAGTGGGTGATTTGCAGTCATGAAAAATATATTCATTGTTTAATACTAGCATCAACAAAATGTCTCTTTCCCTCCAATCCTTCATTGCACTTTGATATTATTCGTATGCAATTCAAATTCAAATTTTGTATGCTGCTTGGTTCTGCCAATAGTTGTTGCACTTTGGTATTTCCTTTCCCAATGCTGCTCTTTCCTTTCCACTATTTTTAATATTTAGTATTGAAATGAAAAACTCCATTCTATTTAATTTTATTTAAACGGAGAACGTAAATTGGAAGAGATCCAAAGAAGTGCAACAAAGATAATCAGAGACTGGGAATTTGGTATCTTTACTTTTGAAGAGAAGGTTGAGGAGAGGGATGTGAGAGTGGTTCTCTTGTATTTGAAGGAGTGCCATACAAAAAAAGGCTGTGACAGACAAAGCATAATTGTACTACTATTACAAGAAAAAGGTGGTGATTGAATGTTATTTTTAAGTTTACAAAGGAGTGGTTGACAGTAGAATCAATGAGGAGAGGTGGTGGACTTTTTCTTTACTGGATGTGTTTCTTTCTACACTGAACATGAGGTTGGATTCCATTATTTTACCTAAATTACCTCTTGCAAATCAGTGCTTTCCTGGGAAGAGGTTATTTGTCTTCAGGGAGATAAATTTATTTGTCAGATGGTAAACTATTCAGTGAGAAACTTGTTAAGTGTTTCTGAAATCAGGTTCACTAATGTCTTAAGTATATCCTTCAGTGTAGTAGTGTGGAAACTTTAGTGCCCCTAATTCTTAACCAGGACAACCAGTGTGACCAGTTGAGGTATATAAGTTGTAGTGTAGTAACGTACAGAAAGCCAGAATTCTGCCATAAAAGCTTTGATTAGATCAAGAAAATTAATTCAGATAGGTTAATGGAAGCAGCCCTAGTGTACTCTAGCTATACACTTAGTTGGCTTATCATCTGATGCTGCTTCCATTTTCCTTAAAGATGCTAGAAATCCCTTTTAAACTCCACAGTAGAGAACTCTGATCTAGTATTTTGGTGTGGGAAATTTTATATTTTATAAACCTTGGAAATAGGATCATTGATCTCTTTCTTACTCTGTCATGTTCAGTATGTATTTTTTATAAACTGAAATTTAAGACCAATTATATTGCGAACTTGTTTGTTTTTCCTAAGAAAAATTAATCTGTATATGTCTTAAAAGTGAGGAAGTTTAGTTTTTTGTTTCTTGATTCTTTGAATATGTTCAAATATATTCATCTATTCCAATGGTCTTGTACCATAAGTTTTATTAAAAGACACATTACATTAGTAATAGTTTGGATTCTTGGCTAGTATCAGATTTGGAAAGAAGATATTTAAAATTTGATAGTGTAGAATATATTGTGGAGAAATATATGTAAGATATAGGGATGGTGTAGTGGTTAAAGTATTGGCCTAGCAATCAGGAGACTGAATTCTAGTCCCACTTCAGGCATGAAAGCTAGTGGGTGACTTTGAGCCAATCATTCTCTTTCAGCCCAACCCACCTCACACCTGTTGTTCTGAGGAATATTGTATGTATGTTTATGTTGAGTTACGTATAAAGGCAGGATAAATACATTATTTTTCAGTGGTAGTTTGGGCAGCAGTGCATACTGCTTTAAAATAATTCTGTATTGTATTTTCTTCTATCTGTGTAGTTTATAACTACTGAATACAGCAATAAAACAGGCACCTTTTCCAGTAAAGTTTCATTTATATACATTTTTCATGGGGCATACTTGTGGTTTTGAGTGGATTCCATAACACCAGTCTTCTGTGGGATGAATTAGGATGTATATCAACTTCTCTTAATCAGATGCGGAGGTTCTCTAACTATTGATATTATAGTGTTGCATAGTCAACCAAATGTTTAGACTAGATCTGGCATTTTTGTCCATCTATCAAGTCTGTTCCAAGGATTATTATTACCAAATTTTATGTGCTGCCTATCTCTTGGTTCAAGGAGACTCTGAAGATGACTCTGAAAAGATAAAATACTATATATGTTCTCTCTTCAAGCTCTCTTGAAAGTCTGTTTCTTAAAATCAGAAAAGCTAACTTGGAGAAAATTTGGTGGACTATGTTGAATGGATAACTAAAAATGGTTCATGTTCCATAGAAGCAATTTTAATTTACCAAGATTTATTTATTAGATTTATATCTCACCTTTTGTATTTTATAAGCAACTGAAAGCAGGAAATATACACAACATTCAAGTTCTCTGATCTAACTTTTAAAACTTTTTAATTTTATGTTAGGTCATGTGTATCATTTGGACCCAAGAACCGTTCAATTGGAGCTGCAGCCAAGAGCCAGGTAAGGCTTTTATGTTAATTTTTAAAAATAATTATATAATTGCTAGAAAAACATGAAAACACTTAATTGTACCAATTTTCAGTTCGTATGAAAATAGTTGTGTTAAATATTTCTTATTCAGGCTTAATTAATTTGAGTTCTTGAAACATATTTTCTATACTGTGCTTATCCTATAAAAAGTATTCTAACTTGGTGAATAATGTGAAGTGTATTCTGGAATTCTATTCTGGAAATTTTTATAGTGGAGTAAACTAATGTCAATATATCTCGTGTATTTCTTTCCTGTTCTGGTTGTTTCACTGTCCTCAATAATTGAATTTAAGGAGGAATGTAGTCGCTAAATTAAGGCACCTCAAAAATTCCATTCCTGATTCTGGATAAAAGACTTCCAGAAATATACAAACCACACCTGTAAAATTTCTATTGGCCCATTGTATAGGGGATGGAGAGATAATCCAGAGCTGAATTGTTCCAACATGAAATTATAAGGGGGTTGTAATGATATGTCCTTTATTTTATAGTACTTGCATAAGTTTAGAAGTGACATGATTTACCTATGATTATGAATTATAACTATCTTTTGCTTTAATATTTGAACACTATTATAAGATTATTGTGCTTTAGCCAATTATGATTGAATAGGGTCAGCTGCAGTGAGTATTTAAGCAAACTTCATGGAAATTCCAAGGATGTAGAGTAGAGTGGAAAATAAATAAACTATCCCCCACAAAGGAAATAACTTTTATAAAACTGCCAAGAAAATGGTAAGGATACCAGATACTAGGAGTTGAGTTCAATTTGAGGAAATCTTTGTGTTTTCATATAGATACTATACTCAGATGTATTGGACACCTTGTAGTTGCCTGGATCAGTCAAATGTTAACTCAATTTATATGTTAAAATAGAAAAGTGCAAATTATTAATGCAGCTATGTTTCATTTTCTGTGTTAGGGTTGTTAGGTTTTAAAATGGAAATACTGACATGGCCTGCATTATAATAATATGTGTTTTATGAGAGGCTTGGCTTGCAACACTCAGATCAGGTGGTTGCTAACAAATAGGACATAACAAAAAAAATTGATCTTTACATGGCCTTAAAATATAAAGGAACTTGTAAAGATTTTTTATCTTCTGGATAAAGATCTTTACTTTATCTAGATCTTTACTAATCTTACTCATCCACAATATCCTTTCACTGTAAATTCTGACTTGACAGTATATTGACTATTTGCTTTACTAAGGTTTAACCAAAAAATATTTGATACTATCACTAGTTTTTATTTCATTAAGGTTGCAACCCTCCTACCAGAAAGAAATGCATTGAAAAGTTTTCTGGTAGTTGAGTTAGTGAATTAGTTATAGCAAGAAAAAAACAGTTTATTGCACAAGAAAATTAAGTTGCACAATTTAGGTGACTAAATTTCTTCTGATCTCATTTGCACATATGGGTAGTCCTTGGCTTATGACTGTTTAGTAGACATTCAAAGTTATAATGGCACTGAAAAATGTGACTTATGACCAGTCCTCATGCTCACAACCATCACAATATCCCTATGATCATGTGATCAAAATTCAGGTGCTTGGAACAGGCATATATTTACAATGGTTGCAGCATCTCAAGGCCATTTGCAACCTCCCTATCTGGCTTCTGACAAACAAAGTAAATGGGGGAACCCTGATAAATTTAATGACTATATGACTCACTTAATAATGGTGGCAAAAAGGTCATAAAATCAGGCATGACCCAACAACTGCCTTGCCTTAGCTCTGGAAATTCTGGTCTCAATGAGTTGTAAATCTAGGAGTACTTGTAATTGGTTGAGTAAAGTTCCTGAACAGCAAATCCTCAATATTATATATGGAAGTATTATTTTGTATATTCTATTTATGATATATGTTCAATAACTTACAGTTTTCTGATTGTATTGTGTAGCATACTTCGATACTTTGCAAGAAAAATGCGTAAGTTTATACACCATTAAAAATATGACATTATATAAAAGTGTTCTTTTACTTTCTCCTCAAAGTGTTTCTACAGCTTACTGCAAAAGTATTAATGTTCTGTTACATGAAGCTAAATTCTGTTCTTTTCTAGGTAATTTCAAATGCAAAGAATACAGTGCAAGGTTTTAAAAGATTTCATGGTCGTGCATTTTCGGATCCTTTTGTTCAAGATGAAAAAGCTAAACTTGCTTATGAGCTTGTCCAGCTGTCCTCTCTTTCACTTGGCATTAAGGTATGACCTTGAATGTGCACATATGCTTCTTAGAATTTTTGACAGGAAAAAAAAAACAAAAGCAGAAAAATACAGATATTATTCAAATCTTAAGAATTAAACTGCTACAGTCTTCCTTAAAGAGATGAGAGTTCTGTGGCTTATAAATTATTGTTGGTCAGTCAGTCAGCCAGATGTTTAGACTAAATTTCTGCCTACTTATCAAGTTCTTCCCAAGGACTTGAGATAGGGAGATGTTGTTTATTAATATTAAAGTTAAACAATGCAAGATACAAGCTGTTCCAAGTAAAGTTATCTTTTGCAGTTGACTGAGATACATTCTTTGAGATAAAATAAGTATGATCAGAATTTTTTCTCTTAAAAATATGAAAAATAAAGCATACTGTTGATTGCTCTTTTGTGCTTATTTGTGAAGCAAAGGGGAAAATATATTTAAACTTTAAACATACTGTTAAAGATTTAGTGGGGAAAATTACTCTGGAAAATTACAAATTAAAATATCATTTTGTTTCTAACTAAGGTTAAATATATGGAAGAAGAACGAAACTTTACAGTTGAGCAGATTACAGGAATGCTTCTCACTAAACTAAAAGAAACTGCAGAGAATACTCTTAAAAAACCTGTAGTTGACTGTGTTGTATCTGTAAGTAATAAATCTGTATGTTTTTGATCTTTTCTAAATTTAACTTTATTAAAGGTTATGAATGAAAATGAATAAAATTGATTACAGCTTGTTGCTTAGGTTCCTTAATGATGGTTTATCACAGTGCTATACCAGGTGGCTGATATTCTTTATTTACAGATAAGTAAAGGAAAGAGAGTATTTGGATTGTAAATGTGATTAGTCAAATTATTGAAGATTGATATTTTGGCTTGTAAATATTGTGTCTGTCACTTACAGGTTTCCATAAAACTTATGAATATTAGGGTCTTGGTCAAAAATATTTTTCTTTGGCAGCTTAATATTTAGTCACCACAACATGCAAGTATCTTCTGGTTACAATGACAATTCTAGCTGGTCCTGGTTGCTATCATTAACCAAGGGCCATGTGTGCTGTTAAATGAGGCCCTCATCTGACTGTAACCTGTAACTTCCTGCCAACTTCCCCATTGACTTTGCTTGTGGGAAGCTGGCAGGAAATAACAGAAATTGTAGCCACATTACTATAGCTAGTTGCAATGGCAGAATTCTGAAGACTGGTTTAAGTCCCCCCCTGAAGACTGGTCTAAGTTAGTGCTATTGCAAGTTTGAACAATCACTAAATGATTTATAACCTAAAGATCACCTGAAACAAAAACATTTACTTAGGATCCGGGACTACCTTGTTTTTATCTACCCAAGTAACGGTATAGGTATGAAAAACTTCAGGCTCTTTTCAAGCCTGGCAAGGCAGGTTTATCTATGTGCTGATCTTTCTTTTTTGTTGCTGACTTAAATATTCTGTTTAGTAAGATTTTCTATTTTAACATAGATTATTTTGCAGTTCTTGCATTGGTGTCTTATAATAAACAATATGTTTATTTATTAAATATTAGTTGTTAACAATGTTAGTAGCCAGGTCATTTAACCTTTACTTCCCTATCCTATGTGTGACTTGGGGTAAAATATAATAAATGTGGATAAAAATCAAATTATTAAAAATCTTTTATTTGAAAGCATTCCTTTTTAAAAATCAACTTTTAAATGTCTTGTAGGTTCCTTGCTTTTACACAGATGCAGAGCGCAGATCTCTCATGGATGCTACACAGATTGCTGGATTAAACTGCTTGAAGTTAATTAATGAAACTACTGCAGGTAGGTAGATAACTGTAAAGAATACTGAATTATATATTTGCAAGTCTTGCACCCAGGTTTAAGGTTTTTTTAGTCTTAATGGTACTAATTTTTTATTACATTGAGTAAAGGGGAAATAATTCAATATTTATTTCAATTCACTAAACTTTTTTTCTGTTACAGTCATTCAGATTTGTACATGAGTAGAGTAATTATTTTCACATTTTGATTACTTTTAAATGTGAAAGCATAGAAATTCACAGAAATTTTGAAGAACAACAAAACATATCTGAAATATTTTCTCTTTTTAGTGTTTTCAAACAAATTAATCTACAAATTAAAAGTTTTTCAGTTAGTTCTTTTTCTCCAATGGAATAACTTTTTTGTTGTCATTGAGATAGGCCATTGCCTCTCTACATTCTCATAATTTTTTTAAATACAGTACGTTTTGCACAGTGGAAAGATTGAAGAAGATGAGGGAAAAGAACCATTATAAACTGTTTTGAGGTTTAGGGTTTTTTTTTACAGAAAGCAGCTTAGAGATGCAGCATTTTAGTAAATAACTTGTAGAAATTATTAAAATTGGATTTCAGCCAAAATATTGTGGAGATAAACCCTGAAAAAGGAAAACGGCTTTTCTCTATGGCTTCAGTGTTTCTAGAAATGCTCTCTCTGTATATACTTAGTTTGTACACTGTTTATTTTCTTTATTTTATTCATATTTATTTATTTTATTATGAAACATTTTGAGATTTAGAGAGAGTGTTATGAAAGTTCTTTCTATAATAAAAAGGTAATTTATCATATAGGCTATAACCCATATTAAGAATATATATTTTCTGGTGGATGATTGCAATTGTGCTCTAAATGTTTTAAATGGTATTCTTAGCCAAAAATTAAAACAATTCTTAAATAGAGGATCATGACATTTCTGTATGTTTCTGTTTAGTTGCTCTGGCCTATGGGATCTATAAACAAGACCTGCCTGCATTAGAAGAAAAACCAAGAAATGTGGTATTTGTTGATATAGGGCATTCAGCTTATCAAGTATCTGTTTGTGCATTCAACAAGGGGAAATTGAAGGCAAGTATAAAGTCTATTCATGTTAATTACAATATTTTTACTACCATTATGAGTATTGAAAATGTGGAAGAGTTGATGCATTTGACAAAAAGAGGTAGCAGTTAAGAAATAAAACTAACCAGATGACTGCAAAGAAATAGGATCCTTCTACCCCCACCTCCCAAATCCTCTCAGAACTAATCCTTCCATTGCCCCCACCATCTTGTCAGAACTGATGAAGCTTCTTGGATAAGAAGTGAAATGTCTTCTTCAAAAAAAACAACAGCTCAGTTGCCTTTTGAAAAAGTACCTTTGAGGCATAAAACTAATTGTTTAAAGGAAAGTTGTAGTAGAAACATCACAGTAACTGGTTTGGACATTGCAGTAAGCCATTGCCCTAACTTATAATGTGATTTGTGTTGTTAAGGCATAGCAGTTTAATGTTATGGCATATTAACCATTTTTGTGTTTATAGCTGAATGTTTTGCGTTATTCAGTTTAGTATTAGTAATTCAGCAAACCATGACTTAATGTAATATATCAACTTGGAAGCTTCTTATAAAAAGCAATATAATGAACCAAACTGCAGTGATTGCTTTATATGTGACTAGCAGAGGAGGTAATACCTTACATTTATTATATCCTTTAATGTTCATAATGTCAAATATTTTTTGATTGATTCATACATTCATTCATTCATCATTCAAATTCTATAGTTGCCCATCTCAACCAATGGCTCTGGGCAGCTTATACAGTAATTTAAAAATATACCCCAAAAGTGGGTGGAAAAGTCTGTGCATCTTATAGAGTGGGTGTTGCTTAAGCCCTGCCCATCCACAACCCCCCACCCTCTACCTCCCAGCAGTTTGCCTTCTTGCAGCAAACAGCCTGGTCAGCTTCAGCAGAGCTTGGTTTAGCACGAGCATCTGATTGGCGGTTGGATCGGCCTCCCAGAATACCAATGATCAGCTGTTCCAGGCTGCGGGGATTGCCGCCTCCGCATATCCCATATTTGGCCTCCATGCACCCCATTTTGGAATGGGACGAAAATGGGACGCACAGAGGCCAAAAATGGGACATACAGAAGCGGCGATAGGTGGTGGCAATGGGCGGCGGTGATCCCTGCATTCTGGAACATCTGATCGGTGGTATTCCGGAGTACGAACCAAGGCTGGAAGGGTGCAGAGCTAAAACCCACCCACCCCCATGTCCTGCACTGGCTTATCTGAGCACCCTGCCAGCCAGGCACTGAAACGCCACAACTACCAGCACAGCAAGACTGGGGGGCTCTCCAGACTCTCTGTATATATATGAGCGTGCAATTCCTGCTTCAGTCGGGACATTGAAGCTGCTGGCAGCTTTGGTTGAGGGGAGGGTGGCAGCAGCCACCTGAGCAGCGAGGCGGGGGTGGTGGAGCTGCCCCATCCCCACCCTGCACCAGCTTACCTGAGTCCCCAGTGTCACAACTGCCGCCGCAGTGAGACAGAGGAGGAGAGCTCTCCAAACTGTGTATGAGAGAAAGAGTGCACGATCCCTGCTTCAGTCAGGGCATTTAAGCTGCTGGCAGCAGGCGGGGCAGGAGCCACCTGAGCAGCCATTTTTTTCTTCCTCCCCACTGAAGCAGTGGTGGGCTTCTGTGGGACAGTAGGGCCTCTCATTTCTTCCCTGGTGTGGGGAACTCAAGCACTTAAGCTGCTGGCGGCGGCAGCCACCTAATAATTGCCCCCAACCAGCCAGCCAGCATTGGCCGATCTGCTCCTTGCCTTAGCAGCCGGTGCAAAGCCTCACCATTCTCGTCCTCCCCGCCCAAGCAGCAACAGGCTCTGCAGGATAGGGTCTCATTCCTGCCCCAGCGCAGCAAACTCTGGGGGGCTGGACGCAGGTGTGAAGGGCCTGGCCCCGCAGTGCTTCGGCGCTAAGTTGAAGGCTTCATTCAGCCTTCAAACATTAAGGCTGGCCGTGGAATCGGAATCGGCCATATGCAGGAACCAAAGTTGTTCGTGGCTCTGGTGTGCTGCTCACTTGCATGTGCCAGCCTTACTGTTTGAAGGCTGAATGAAGTGTTCAACTGAGCGAGGAAGCGCTGAGGGGCCGGGCCCTTCACACCTGCGCCCAGCCCACCAGAGTTCGCTGCGCCAGGGCAGGAATGAGACCCTGTCCCGAGGAGCCCTCTGCTGCTTGGGCAGGGGGGACGATGAGGAGAATGGCGAGGTTTTGTGTCAGCCGGGAAGGAGCAGTTCAGGTGGTGCTGGCTGGTTAGTTGGGGAGGGGGCAATCATTGTTGCTTAGGTGGTTACTGCCGCCAGCAGCTTGGATGCCCCAACTAAAGCAGGGATTGCTTCCTCGCTCTCAAACACACACACACATACACAGAGAGAGTTTGGAAAGCCACCCTCTCTCTCTGTCTCACTGGGGTGACAATTGCGGCGCTTCAGTGCTTGGTTGGCAGGGCGCTCAGGTAAGCTGGTGCAGGGCCGCCCATGCCACTGCCAGCAGCTTGGGTGTCTTGTACAGATCACTCTCTCTCCCATACACATACACACATACAATTGAATCTCACCCCATTTGCATGCAAGCCCGCTCACCCCAATGAGGTCTCATTAATTGGTTAAGTGGAAAGTAGGGGGGGGGGGTTGGGAGGGGGGAGTATCAGGAGACTGGCAAACACTTTTCATGCCAAGAATGAAAGTTTCTGGGTCCTTGACTGCAAGAGGGGGTGGGTGCCTGAATCTGCGCGGTATTATAGCACCCAGGACCATCCATTCCCAGCACAAAAAGCATTTCCCAACCAACTCTCCCTTTCTCAAAGCAAAGGCAAAGAAATAGAGAAACAAAGAGAGGAGACAAGATGTTTACAAGGTAAGTGAGTCCTTGTGGCAGGAAGGGAGCGAGAAGCATGAGGTATCTTCGTGGGTCAGGGAGACCTTGAGGGCCTGTTCTGTCACTAGCGCCCCCCCCCCAGCCTTCCCCCCGGCCTTCCCCACCTTGAGATACCTCATGTGCACATTGATGTTCTTGAATTGTGAGCTCTTACAAAAGTATTCCCTCCTTGTGTATTGCAAACAGCTATTTCCAGTGGGGAAAACAGGACAAAGAAAGAGGAGAGGAGATCGAGGAAGGAGAAAGAAGGAGGGGAAGGAAGAAGAAAGAAAGAATGAAGAGGAAAGGAAAAAGGGAGGGAGGGAAGAAAGAAAGGAAGGAAGGAAGGAAGGAAGGAAGGAAGGAAGGAAGGAAGGAAGATTAAAATGAGAGAGAGTGAGGGTCTGAGGTAAATCCTGCCTTAGCACTTGGCCACCAGTAGCCCTGCTGCCTTTTGCCATCCCCTTGTCCCCTCCTCCTGACCTCTCTTGGTGGTCTCCCATCCTATTACTGAGGATGCTTTGGTTACCAGATCTCCTTGTAAGGAGATGGAGTGGGCCTCCTTCTGACCCACACACTTTGCCTTCCCGCACATACCATGAGCAACCTGGCCGAGGAGAGTGAGCACAGCAGCAGTGGGAGCTGGCCACACCCACCCTGGGCCCCCAAAGTCAACCACAATCTGATGTGGCCCTCAATGAAATTGAGTTTGATGCCCCTGATGTACATGTATTCCTCGACTTATAAATAGTTCATTTAGTGACCGTTCAAAGTTACAACAGCACTAAAAAAGTAACTTATGATCATTTTTCATACTTACAACTGTTGCATCATTCCCATGATCATGTGATTAAAATTCAGATGCTGAGCAACTGATTCATATTTATGATGGTTGCAGTGTTCTGGGATCATGTGATGCCCTTTTGCAACCTTCTGACAAGCAAAATCAATGGGGAAGACATTCACAACTGTGGCAAAAAAAGGTCGTAAAATGGGGCAAAACTCACTTAACAACCATCTCACTCAGCAAGAGAAATTTGGGGCTCAGTTGTGGTTGTAAGTCGAGGACTACCTGTATTGCTCACTTTAACCCTGAGTGAAAACAAGCATTGCCTATGTTGGAACTGAAATAAATAATGGCACTGTTTGTGATTTGTTGAGCAAGGATGTACCCATCTGGAACATGGATTCCTAGATGGTGAATTGAAAGAGTGGGTTTCATTTGTGATATCAACATTGCAAAAAACAAATTACGTTTTTAAAAAGAAGAAATTCAGAATACGATCTATACATATGCAAACATCCTGAAATTATTTACCATTGAATCATACTTGCAGTTAAAGTTACGTTGATGTGAAAGGTTGATCAGAAGTGAAAATAGACAATGCAAAAAGAACAATTACTGCAGAGTATAATGTCTTTACCTTTATTGCAAAACCTGAAAATTAGCACATAACACTCTCTGACATTGTCAAATAAATCATGAACAATATAAAGTTCACTCTTATTTTCCAATTATATGTGGCTCCATTTCAGGCATCCAGTAAAGAGACAAAGCAACATTTCATTTAATGAACATTTCATTGTTCATTGTGACTGTTTATTCCCCCTGGAAAAGTGACAAGAACGGACAAAGTGACAACTGAGAGGAGCTTGACTGTAGCACATAATATCTGTGCAGGATGGGGGTAGCTAGTCCTTTTCTCAGTTGGTTTATTTAAATAAGCTATGTATGCTCATAAGTAGAAAGGAAATTGGAATAAATTCACTTCACTCTCCAGGCAGGTTAATGGATGCTTAAAGATATGGTATGGTAGTCATTAACTCACATTTAGATTATACCAGGTGGTTTAGCCATATCACAACCATATCCTCTGAATAATTTGCTAAGTATAATAGCATGGTTCAGTACATTATGGAAACGCGTTCTCTCTGCATAAATTATTCTGTAATTGACAGTTGCTAAGGACATTAAAGATACATAGTCTAGTGCCGTGATGGCGAACCTATGGCACGTGTGCCAGAGGTGGCATGCAGAGCCCTTTCTGGGCATGCGAGCTATCACCCCAGCTCAGCTCCCGCTAGCCAGCTCATCTTTGGGTCTCTGCTGCAAATGCATGGGGGGCAGGGGCATGCAGGGGAGGGCACATGTGCAGGGGATGCACGCGCATGCACAGTGGCATGGGGCACATGCATGGGGATGCACGCACATTGCACTTTGGGGATGTGTGTGCATGAGCGCTTTGGGCACTCGGTGTCGAAAAGGTTAGCCATCACTGGTCTAGTACAATGTTTTCTATGTTACGGTAACTTTTCTTTCTGTTTGGAATTGTCTTGTTATTGATGTGTAAGTAGGATTGGTGTGTGTATATGTGCATGCACATGCGTGCACGCATGAGTTCTAGTGATTAACATTCATACTATATGGCTGCTGTAATTTGTTAAATTAGTACTTTATATGACTGAACTGGATTCATTATCGATGATTCGGTTAATCGGTTGATTAATAACTTGCCATCTGTTTAATAGATAATATGCTTTTTCTTTTTATTGTGAAGGTACTTGCAACAGCATTTGACACAATGCTTGGTGGCAGGAAATTTGATGAAGTATTAGTAAATTATTTTTGTGAAGAATTTGGGAAGAAATACAAACTAGATATAAAGTCCAAAATTCGGGCCCTGTTAAGATTATCTCAGGAATGTGAGAAGCTGAAGAAACTGATGAGTGCAAATGCTTCTGACCTCCCCATGAACATAGAATGCTTCATGAATGATATTGATGTCTCTGGGACTATGAACAGGTATTGCAGATTAATACACCTTAGTAATGAAATTCTAAAAGCTTTTTTAAAAAAATCAGTGTTTTAAGTATGCAAGCACACTCCCTTGTTTACATGTTTATTTTAATTGTTTGGCTAAATGGTATATGTAGTTTTTGCTTAAGAATGCTAATTGGAAACTGGAATCTCCATTGTTAATGATACAATTGTTAGTTGAAAAAAACCCCACATGATTGTGTCACTAAGCCACATCAGTTCTAGCAGTTTTCAGTTGCCATTTCTAAGTGAGGAGCGCGTTAAGCAAGGACCTCACTTGTCTGTAACTTGTGACTTCCTGCCAGCTTCCCCATTGACTTTGGTTGTCAATAGCCAACAGGGAAGGTAACAGGTCGTGATTGTGTGGCCACAGAATGCTGCAGTGCTCATAAGTACAAGGATTGGTCATAACTACTGCTTATTCAACATCTCTGTAAGTTCAAACTATCGTTGAACAAGTGTTTGTTAAATAACAACTACCTGTAATGAAGGAAATGGAAAAGTGGACAGTTATATGTTAGAATTAGGAAAATTATTAACAGTTTCTACTACAGTTTTTTTTTAATCTCTCCATTCTTTCTCCAGAGCTGGATCTGAGGTTTTGATAATGTGAATTAATTAGGAGTGCTGTTTCTATCATCTTGGAATGATGTGTAGGTGTAGATGTAATCTCCAAAATTGCTGCCAAATTACAGTTTTAACATGGAAAAAAGAGAAGAGTATTAAATATATAAGAAATAATTACATAATACATAATGTTAAGCTCAGCTTAGCTTGTCCTCTCTGGCATAAGTGGTGGATGGAGAAGACATTGTATAACTCAGAGAAAACAAGTTATGTACCCCATCTGAAAATAGTCATTGTATTTATAAATGTATATTTCTTTAAATAAATTAGTCTGCAAATACTATATTATTGCAATAGCATATCCAAAAGTATATAACAAAATTTTTTAATCATTAATTCAAAACCCATGACCATAATTCCGTATTTGTGTGTGTCTCTCTCTCTCTGTTTCTCTCTCTCTCTTTCTCTCTTTCCATCTCTATCTTATCTAATCTATATATATGCTATGTATTTAATCCTTGATTTGTACTCTATAACTTTGAAAACATAAGTGACAATTTTACTGTAAGTTGGAATGAGAAAAAGAGGAATGTGTAATATCTTAATATAAAGAAACTCAATTTCTATGTGGCATGCTTTGATAAAATTGGTTCTTATGGATTGTGTGAGTGAAATAAAGAAAAAGAAGCATCTTATCTAAAACAAAAAAGAGCTGAGGAATACAGCAGACTGAACTATCTGAGTTTTGGTTTATAATCTAAATATAACTTACTAAATGCAGCTCTGTGAATGTTGCCAATTTGAGGGATTATTTAAGAGTCTGCCATTAATCTTTATGCTTGTTTTCATAAAAAAATTTTTCCATTTCTACCCATAGAGGTAAATTCTTAGAGATGTGTGATGATCTTTTGGCCAGAATAGAACCACCTCTTCGTAGCGTCTTAGATCAAGCTAGTAAGTATACATTTTGTTATTTGGAGTACAGTGCAGGACTAATAAATGTAACTGCAGAAACACTAAAGTGCGTAGTACAGCAATTTATGTTTTGTAACTGCTGGATAAAATAAAATGAGCACCACTAATGGTCAGTGATGTAGAAGTTAGTATTAGGAAAGTTCAGATTCAAGCACTCAATCAGCTATTAAGTTCTCTTGGTGACTTTGGTTACTTTCTTTCATTCAGTCCACTAACTTCACAAGGTTGAGAATAAAATTAAAATACTAAGAATGTTTGCCCTAAGCTTCAGGAAAAAGATGGCATGTAAATCCAGCAAACAAAAAGATATTTGGAAATATCATAATTCTCTATCAAAGCACAACTGTATCTTCTTAAGTTTGTATTGTAAATATTATTAAATATATTCATTATGTTGATTTCAGACTACAAATACCTTTGTTTTCGTATAATTAGATTGCAAAATTTAAAACAGTCTGGACTTTTGGTAGAAAAAAATACTGTCATTTGTAAGGACTATGTTTGACTGGAAATTTAACTATGTTTTCATGTCTAGAAAATACTAGCCATGCTATTGTTCGTGTATTATGTTGCCCAGTTACATGTATTATGTTGCCCAGTTATACACACATACTGTGTATGTGTGTATATGATACCAACCCTCAAATATATTCCCCTTCCCAGTAAACAGCCCCTCAAGATATATGAATATGCAATATCATCCAATCAACATCAAAGATATATTTATAAAGAAAAAAGCTCTTCTAAACATCTGGTAGACAAGCCCTAAGGATTGCTTTGAGGGCAGTATATTCCATAGTTTTAAAGCTATAACCGAGAAAACAGTAATAGAGTTGGAAGGGACCTTGGGCATTTTCTACTCCAACCCCCTGCTCAAATAGGAAACCCTATACTATTTCAGACTGATGATTGTCCAATAACTTTTAAAAACCTCCTTTTCTGCTTGAGAAAAATCTCTTGAGAAAATACTGAAGATAGAAATACAATTAAAAATTACAATATATTTTCCTTATTAAGATCCAAATGGAATACTTCAAAAACATTTCTTTCACTTGAATTTGTTGTGTGTATATGTGTATTCCCAGACTAATATGCCAATGATGCTTGCATTGCTTAAAATGTCATTGTAGCACATGTTGAAACCTGTGGGATTCAACTAATGCAAATGAATTTAGAATGACTACTGGTGTTTTTCTTCACAGAATTAAAGAAGGAGGATATCTGTGCAGTTGAAATAGTAGGAGGGACTACCAGAATACCTGCTGTAAAAGAGCGGATCAGTAAATTTTTTGGTAAAGAAGTCAGTACAACTTTGAATGCAGATGAAGCTGTCACACGAGGCTGTGCATTGCAGGTAAGAATGGTGGTATGCTGAAAAATATGTTTTCTGCTACAAATGTAGTTTTTAATTCAACACTGGTTAACTTTCAGTTTCAAAGGAGCTACAGATAAATGTTATGGTTGAATTGGAAAGAAATATTGAGTATTTGTTTAGGAAATGCATTTTACTCCAGTTAAATGAGTTTTTTAAATGCAAATTTATATAGTCCAAAACCCAACACAGTTGCACAAACTAGAATGTGTACAGTGTAACATTTTTCTCCTTTCCACTCCTCTGCAGTCCCTTCCCTACACAAATATCTAGCACATTTTGGGGTCTTCCTTTCATACGTGTGATCAACTCCAGAAGAAAGAGAGATTGTGCCCTAAAATTTCAGTGGATGTTTCTTTTGTATTGTCTCAGCATATTTGGCAATAGGGATGTGCAGCACTTCCAATCTGAAGCTAATAAAGTGCTTTGGAGCAGGCTGGTTTTCTGGTTTATTTACTCATTTATACAATGAACTGCTGAGATTCATAGTTTGTGAGAAGGATGGCTTTATAAATCTTAAATCAATCAAGACTTTTCTGTATCTGATTAGAGCTATAGCTTTTATTACTTATTGCCTTTTATTTTTTTTAAAGACTTATGTTTTAGTGACATATTAAACATGTAGTGACATATTAAGCATGTTAACCTTTTTAAAATAAAACTGGGATTCAAACTTTGTAAAATAACTCAGTGACACTTTCACTTTCCTTCTCTTTGCCACATAACGATATAAGCATATCTTTTCAAATATTTGCAATTATCAGTTATGTTTAGTAAACAAGTGTGGATAATGTGTTCACCTCTAATTTGTCTAATTATTATATAACTAAAGATATATGAAGCTGGCTTCTTGAGTAAAAGCTCAGTGGGGAATTGTAGCCTGTTTCCAACTGAAACGGGTTGTTTTGGGGTGGAATAGCTACAAAAAACAAAAGAGAAGTTTGTGCAAGTGGGTGGCAACCAATTGAAGCAGCAAAGAAATAAACTTTTCCATCTATAACTGAATTATATTTTCATAGCTTTAATTTTTTAAAATTAAATTGAGGTGATGAGATGAAGTCTGACAAGTGCAAAGAGATGTGACAGACAAGATGATAAGGCACTGTACTTTCATGCTCTTTACATCCAGAGTTTGACCCTATGACCATACGTTAATTGAATAAACAAGAGTTTTGGAAATAGAAATCTATCAGCCTTTTGGTATTATACATAATGATATATGATTTGATATTATACATAATTTGATGCTACCGAACTTTTTTTTTTCTTACAGTGTGCTATTCTATCACCAGCTTTTAAAGTGAGGGAATTTTCTATCACAGATTTGGTGCCGTACCCCATTTCTTTAAAATGGAACTCCCCTGCAGAAGAGGGGATAAGGTAACTCCTAAAAAAGCTGTATTGTATATCCTGTTATAATGTACATGTATATAAAACTCCATAAACATAGCATTAACAGTTTTTCATATATTTAAACAATTGACATAATTTTTGTAATGTAAGCCTTTTCTGTGCCTCAAAAAATGCTTATTTGGGTGAACAAGGATGTATTCTTTTTATAGTGATTGTGAAGTATTTCCAAAGAATCATGCTGCACCTTTCTCCAAAGTCCTTACGTTTTACAGAAAGGAACCCTTTACTTTGGAAGCTTATTACAGTTCTCCTAAAGAATTGCCATACCCAAACCCTGCAATAGGTATGTAGCTGTGTATTTAATATATGTATCACAATCTAGGAACACACCTGTCAGTTATTTTGTCATGAAATCTTGTGTTAGTGTTATCATCCTTGCTAAAATGTAAGACAAAGCCTGATTTGTAAGATTGTAGTCAATACAGTTATGTTTGAGATTGCCGGGGCCTATCATAAACCTTCTTGGTCCATGGCAAAGTTAGAAGAGTAGCAGTACATGCTGCATATTAGCTAGAAAGAATAGCATATAAGCTATTCATAGCATAGCTGGGAAGGAAGGACACAACTGGGGATGAAAAATGATTAAGGCAGAAAAAAGGACAAGATGGGTAGAGAGGGGTAAAGAAAACTAGACCAAAATTGAAGAGATGGAGGCAGGATTTTTTAAAAAAATAAGATAGTAGAGTTTCAAGGGGAATGACGCATTTTACCAGAGCAGGTGGCAATAAACTTGGCACATTCTACTGAATGCAAGGAACCTAAGATGCTTTTCCCAAAGGAAAGAATCGAGAGATCTATTTTCACATCCATAGAGCAGATCGTGCAACCAAGTCTTTAAAATGACAGTGTCCCCATAATTTAAAATAATTCACTACAGTATCCATCTGTCTACAACTGTCCTTGAGCTGTGGAATATGTAGCAAAGTGACTCGGTTTCAGGGGAAATGTTATCCTCATTTCAATGAACCTTCTTAGCACTTAACCATTGACTTAAAGAAATATCCTAGACAGATATAGAAGCGCTTCAAATTCATTTTATTTGCTCTGCCTTACTTTCTGTTATCTAGAACTGCCAGAGACCCAAGAGAAGAATGTATATTTGGGGAAAGAACCTGTTTACCTTTGAACAGAGTAGTATTTTCGAGGCACTGAAACTAACAGCCTATATCTATCTCTCTTAGAAATTTAAAGATATGATGATTAAATACTGTCTATTGTTTTAACCAATTGTTTAATTAATAATTAGGTTATAATAATTTAAATTCCTGTTTTGATTGTTTTAAATAGTGAAAATGCAAGATAAATGTTTAGTAAAATAACTTATCAATAAAGGAAAATCAAATATTTGCTGCTATATAGTATCTTTGGTTTTATGTATTTAGAAAATTCCATGATCTTCTTTTAAGTTAGCAAATTTTGTACTGCATTTATTAAAACATAATAAAGGAAATAATGGAATCAGTAGATATTTCAACTATTTTCTGTTAACAGTTCCAATTTAATTTTTTTACTTCAATGAAAGTATTTTATATTTCCCATTTAGCTCAATTTTTAGTTCAGAAAGTAATACCCCAAAAGGATGGATCCAGTTCCAAAGTGAAAGTGAAAGTCAGAGTAAACATCCATGGCATTTTCAGTGTTTCAAGTGCATCACTTGTGGAAGTTCATAAATCAGAAGAAAATGAAGAGCCTATGGAAACAGATCAACATACAAAAGATGAAGAGGTAATGTTTATTTATTGTTGTTTTTTTGCCAAATGTTGCTCTGCTAATTTAACAACAATTTAGTTCTGGTAACAGCTTCCTTTATAATTAAATTTCCAAATACAGGATTTTGCAGATCCAAGTCTAAGTGTTACAAGATTATATAAAAACTGCATCTATAGGGTGTGTTGATTTTGCTAACCATTAACAGTGTCCACTGATTTGTATGGAGAATGTCTACTTCTAAATAGGTGGTTAAAGAACTTAAATTCATGAAAGTAAACACATAAGTTCTGGAGTGTACCATATATGCCATGGTGGCTAACCTTTTCGGCACCGAGTGCCCAAACCAACGCGCATGCATGGGAGCACCAGAAACCGGAAGCTTAGCTTCCCAGCATGATCATGCCCACCAGCCACCTGGTCTTCCGGTTTCTAACGCGCATGCACGCACAAAGATCAGCTGGCTGGCGCGCACTGGGGAGCTGCTCTTCTGGTTTCCATTGCTCCTGTGCACACAAAGACCAGCTGGCCAGCACACATGCCGTGCTGGAACCCAGAAGAACAACAGGCAATGGCTTTGCGTGCCACTTCTGGCATGCGTGGCATAGGTTCGCTATCACAGATATATGCTATTAAAACAAAGTGTTGCTTAACAATCTGCAAACGAGCTGTCAGTTACGTGCCTTAAAATAACATCAACAAAATGTGCTTTCCTTCTAAAAAATAAAGAGGTGGAATGGGATGGAACCCATGCAGTTGAGTTTCTTTTGGTATCTGAAATTCAGTGTTGTAACAATCCCTTCAGTGATTAGTACTACAAGTTGTTGAGTGTGGGTGGGCATGGGGTCTTGAATTCAGAGGAGGACTTTCAGTTGCCCATATTCAATAACGGGGGGTTCATGTAATCCAACATCTTGCTTTCTAATTTCAGAAGATGCAAATAGACCAGGAAGAGCAACAGAAAAATGAGGAACAACAACAACAAACACAAGCTGAAAACAAGACTGAGTCTGAGGAAATGGAGGTAAAAGTTATGTCTGAAAATAAAACATGCTCTAAAATCAGTTGAATAATAGAAAGAAAATGGCAAATGGCTTTTCTACTCTAGGGATGACTAAAATAAAATTATTAAACAGCCTATTTGTAAAATAATTTGATACTTTTTTCAGTACATGTTTTTAAAGGCATATGTCCCAGTTCAGTTGATGGGACAATTTAGGGCAGAGTTGTTCATGAAATTGAATAGCCTAAAAACCAGAATTCATTACATGTTTCTGTCTTGAATTCTTTTTTAAAATACCGTTTTAATGCAGACATCTCAGGCCGGATCGAAAGAAAAGAAAACTGACCAGCCTCCTCAAGCTAAGAAAGCTAAAGTAAAGACAACAACAGTTGATCTTCCAATTGAGAATCATTTGGTGTGGCAGATAGGAAAGGATACATTGAACTTGTTTATTGAGAATGAGGTAAGTTAATTTAAAACACTTAACATGGGATTTTGGCCAGAATTGAAACCAAAAGATGCAATGTAGCGTTGTAATCTCACCCTGTCATCCTGCAGTAAAGGAAGGTGTGATGAACTATTAATGGTTAATATTTATTGTTTACTTTAGAAGAGATAACAGTGGGCTGTCTTGTTTGGGCTCAGAAGGTAAGCTGTTCTGACCCAAACCCTTTTCCAATAAAACAAACACGAACAAAGAGAACAGAAACCTTTTAATGATTCTTATGAATCCCTGGTTAAAAGGCTGCTGCAAACTAATTAACTTTGATAAGTACGAGCCTCGCCAAAACTGCGAGGCTGCCAAGAATAACAGATAAGGTTACCTAGAACTATTTTACAACACAAGTCTTCAAATACCAACTAAGATACTGCAATGTCCACGAGGCTCGAGTTTCAAACGTCTTTGCTTTCTGCAAAGAACGTCCGATTCACAGCTGGCTTTTATCTTCTTGAAGGAGGGGCCATTACGTTGCAGCCTTACTCCTGAGTCTCCCATGCTGCTGCAGCTGCTCTTTCCTGCAAGCAGCCCTGCGCGCATGCACACTTGGCACAGGCTCCTCCTCGCTGCTGTCAGCCCCCACAATCTCTGAAGGCAGCAGTCCACTCCCTAATACTCCTGGCCCCTCATCTGAGTCCTCGCTCTCCTCAGCCACCCGCACCTGCGGCCGGCTAACCACAACATAAGCAGTGTTTGCATGAGATGCTAACAGAGAATACCAGGACACAAGCTAAATTGGAAAATTAAAAGATACTTTGGAAGAAGGTAGTGTCCAACTAGTTGTTGTTAAGAAAACAGCATAGAGCTCTCTGAATTTATCAGACGTCAAGCTTGTTTCCTTGGAGGATGCTTCAGGTGAGAGAATGTAATAGTACACAGTCACAGTAACCATTTTATATTTCCTGCAGGGTAAAATGATCATGCAGGATAAACTGGAGAAGGAACGGAATGATGCCAAGAATGCAGTGGAGGAGTATGTTTATGAAATGAGAGACAAACTCTGTGGCGTGTATGAAAAATTTGTTAGTGATGAGGTAGGTATTTGATGATGTGCAACTAGGAAAAATAAGCTCAGAATGATCTAACATCAGTGTTGCTAGTGTCCAGCTTATCTGACTAAATTTTCAAGCATTTCCACAGATGTGCTTAATTTAATGAGATAGCACATTTTAGGCAATGTAAGCTTCTGTGGAATTTGCTGCTACATCCTTTTTACAAATTTGTTTTCTAACTGTTAAGTTTCAAATCTTGATATCTTTGACCCACTGATCTCTTTTTAACTCCACAAATATTTACAATACAAATAGTCCTTGCTTAATGACCACTTTTTTCAGCAACTATTTGACGCTACAATGATGCTGAATGAGGAGACTTAAAGACTGTCCTTGAAGTTGCAGCCATTGCAATGTCCCTGCAATCATGTGATTGCGATTTAGGCTCTTGGTAACTGGTGCACAATTACAGTACAGTAATCCCAGTATTCTGCGGTCATATGATCACCACTGATGCTCACTGATGGAACAGTTGTCGTAAGTCAGCATGGTCAAGTGATTTTTCACTTTATGACCATGCCACTTAGCAATTAAGTTCTGGTCCCATTATGGTCATTAATTGAGGACTGTCTGCATTATATAACCTGGTAGCATATTTGGTTATCAAAATTAGGAAGCTGGGAATTCAGTTCAATTGTATCAGAGCCATTCTTCACTGAAGAATAATATTTTAATTTATCTGAATTATTTACAGGATCGTAATAGCTTCACTTTGAAGTTGGAAGACACTGAGAATTGGCTGTATGAAGAGGGTGAAGATCAACCAAAGCAAGTTTATATTGATAAACTTGCTGAAATGAAAGTAAGTGGAATGGAAAACCCCCAGGTTTTCTTAGGTTATAAAGATTTTCTGTTTATTGAGCAACAGAAAGAAAAATTGAAATTTAACTAATCCATTTGATCCTGATAGCATGTAGTATAATGTTCCTTTTTCCATGAAAACATAATATGTAATGTTCTGCCTTTAACATTCCTTAACAAGTAGTATTTGGATATTTTTAAACTGAGTCCTTTAGTGAATCATCTTTCTGTAAAAAAATTTCACATGTAATTATTAGGAAACATTTGAATATGCCGGCCAGGTTCATGTATTAGGAATAAGCTAAGGTTTATTCAGCTTGACTTCTGTGTCCTATGAACTAAGCCATTAACCTTTAAACAATATATTAGAGTGATGATATGTACAATTTTAGCTTTTGGGGCCTATTCAGCAAACCATAGTTAAACTACAATTTAGCCATATGAACTAGTTGTAGATTTCAGTCACACAATGTTATACATGTATTGTTGAGAAATGCATATTCGTTGGTCATCTTAGAGAAAGCCCTTCTGCCTTCATATATTTATCATTGCTTTGAGGTTTTTTTATGAGGTAGGCTAATAAACATGGTGCTTCCTTTAATGCAATGCTTTAGTTTTTATGGCAGTTCAGGTTGAAGGTTGAATTTGGTCTAGATATGCTAGAAGTCATACTCCAAAAACAGATGAGGCTAGGAGGAAAACTAGATTTGATTTATTTAGTTAAAATTATGTGTTTAGTTTGCTTTTTATGTCACAGTTAATTTTAGAGGGCACTCGTTAATATTAGTGCCTGTTTATGTAACGGTCTTCAGTTATGGCACATTGGGTATGCCCTCCAGTCTCTCTCCAAAAGACAATTGCATTGCAGGCTGGAGGCCAAACCCAAGACTTTGAAGGGCTACAAGTTATAGCATGCTTAATTTGAAATAATTTCAGCAACTTAAAGCAGTTTTTAATATGAGCGCCATTCATCTTGCAGGATACTAACTCCTTGATAAATTTTGCTCTTAATTCAGGCTGTGGGACAGCCCATTCAGGCACGATTTCAAGAATCTGAAGAAAGACCAAAAGCTTTTGAAGAGCTTGGAAAACATGTTCAACAATATATGAAAGCTGTTCATGCATTTAAAGAAAAGGTGGCCTTTTATCTTTCTTAACCTTCAAAATAGATTTTAAAAATCTCCATTCTTTTTTCAGCACTAAATTGTAAGAATGTTTTCTTCCCACCCCACCCCCCCCCCCCGCAGGATGAGCAATATGACCACTTAGACCCTGCCGAAATGGCTAAAGTGGAGAAGAGTACAAATGAAGCAATGGAATGGATGAACAACAAGCTTAATCTTCAGCACAAGCGAAGTCTTACTTTGGACCCAGTTATTACAGCAAAGGAAATTGAAGCAAAAACGAAAGTAAATAAGTTTTTAAACTTAATGCACTGGTGATATGGTTTGTTTTAGACTTTTTCTATAGATTTTACAGATAAAATTATCTCAGGCTGGGAAAAAAATATATGATTTGATTCAAATCTTTTAAGCCACAAATTAATAAGTGTTTCATACACATCTTGGAAAAAGAAGGAATGGGGGTACCATACTTTGATACTTTTTAAAGCTTTGATACTTTTAGCTCTGATACTTTAAAGTAGCAGAGCTCACATTGTTCCTCTTGTTTTGGAAGATTAACAAAGCAGTGAACGGACATTTTAAAAAAATAGTGGTTGTCTTTCCAACCCATTTAATGGTCTTCTTTGATTTGAATATCAAGATGAAAGAGTTAATTATTGATGGGAAAAAAAGGAATTATATTAAATTTTTACAAAGATTCTGCATCTATTCCAAGGATAGATTAGACAACAATAGAGCCGAACATTTTAGTGACTACTATGATTTCTCGTAAATTTATTCTGACTAACCTGCAGAGTTAAATTTAGATTTAGCTAGTTACCCTCCTTCACTGTAAGATTTTTTAAATTTCATCTTGAGAATGTAAAAGGGATGTTTTATGGTGTAAAAGATCTTATTACAAAGAAAAAAAAAACAATTTTGGATTGAACAAACAACACATGGATAGTAACCTAGATAAATGTTTCAATGTGGTTGTCAAGGAAAATTATTTCAGCATTACTAAATATATCATTGTATTTACATTGTTGACATTTAGCCCAATTAAGGATATCATTGGCCATTCCATGTTAACCTTCATACATTTTGGGAAGCAGCTTTGGTATAATTTGTCATTCCGTGCTGTCCAACTTTCATTTCAGGAACTAATAAACATCTGTAATCCTATTGTTACCAAACCCAAACCCAAAGTGGAACTGCCAAAAGAGGATCAAAACCCAGCAGAACAGAATGGTCCAGTAGAAGGTCAGGGTGATTCCACCAAGGCTTCTCAGACTGCTGAACAGCATACAGATTCAACAGCTCCAACATCTACAGAAAAGAAACTTCCGGAAATGGATATTGATTGAATTCCAGTTCTTTATATTACATACTATATAGCTTTATAGCTTTATGTTGTCTACTTTATGATCTGAATATAAATGGGAGCCAATTGAGAACTGTTATTTTCTCACAGTACCTTTTGGGATGGGATTAGTTAGTAGGGAGCAGCAAACTCTTGGTTAGTTAAATCTTCAGTTGGATAAGTTCTGTCTTTTGCTATATGATGCCAGAAATCCTTGATAGCTATTAGATTTGCACATCTGCTCTTTCAGTTTAATCCTGTTCATGTTGTGAATCCCGTTATTTAAAGTGTGTAAGAGCAACTAGAACAGTTTGGTGATTTGTTTTTAATCTACAATTAAATTACTATTGTGGATTGAAACAACATTAGTTGGTGGAAAATTACCAGAAGTATTTAAAGCTCTGGTTCTAACACAAAAGAGCATAATAAAGATATTAGATTGTGATCCCTTTGGAATTATGGAGGCAATAATAGCATGTTTTATACCTGCAAGTTTAATACATTTTTATTGCACCATTTTATGGTTATGTGAGATATAAGGCAACATGGCTCAGATGAGTTATTCAGGTTAAATGTAAAGAAATGAAGTAGCTGGAGTGTTTTTTCCCGGTTCATGTTCACACAAATTAATATTCATTATGTCCTAGGTGTTGTATCAAATCGTTTATCCGATATGCAGAATAGCATTTATCTAAAATATGCTATTAGATCCAATATGTATCCTCATGATAAATTTCTCCCCAGCTATAAGAAATGCTATGTAAATTTCTGTCTCTAGCTTAGTTGTAGGGGAAAAAGGAGGGTATACTGCTAGCTGCCTCTGGATTATTCTGATTAGTAGCTAACATAGAAGATAGTTTTTGTTTTCCTACACTTGAAAATGATTGTTTTCTCTTCCAGCTAAAGAAGGAATCTAGCAGTTTGCTCTTGTGTTCATTTATACTTTGGCTGTGTTATTCTTCTAGTATTGATAATTGTCATTAACTTGTATGTGTTGAAATCAAATGAAAGCTTCCATACACATTACAAGAAATAAATGCACTGGATTCTATTGGATTTTTTAAAAACTGTTGATTACAAGAAAACTACATGAAACTCTTTAAGACTAGAAAATAAGTAACAGGAATTACGACGGTACATCTCTTTAAAACCAACTGTAAAGTACTCATTGAAAATACATTGGACTTGAAAGCCATGTTCTATAATCATGAGGGTTATATAGTTTTAAATGTTTTTGCTTTTAACTTAGGTGTTAGTTCATTCTTGAAATTTGGAGCACTGTCAGTGTTTCAATGAATTTCAGAATTTCAAAGAAAAAAAATAAAAGTATTTGCACAATAGTATTTTTATTTTTCTTCTTTGAACTTAGACAGAAATTAAAGTGTTCATAAAAGATTCAAAACTAATTTGATATCTCCAAATATAGCTGTTTTCTGCATGTTTGATCTATTCATGGCAGTTGAAATACAGTACAACCTTTATCTTTACATATTCCATTGCCACATAAGCTTTTATTTCTTTGAAAATATCCAGTTTTTCTTTAAATGACACTCAAGAAAGATGAAAAACTACAAAGTGGTACAGATGAGACTGCTGTTTTAATATGCAGTGCCTTATAAAAAGCCTTGCATCACAAGGTGAACAACATATAAATCTTAATAAAATAAACTTATGTTTCTTATACAACAGCTTTTTTGCTTAACATTAGAATTAAAGAGGACTGGAGTTTGAGGTTTTAATCTGATTTTTCATTGCTGTATGCTGCCTGGAACCACTCTGTGACAGCCATATACATTTCTTTTAAAAATAAATAATGGGTTCTTACTTCTTATAAGGACAAGAAGTCAGATTGAATAGTGTGTAAAGAAAGGAAGGACATTTGCACGGAGACTGAGTGAGTTCTAAGCCTCAGGGATGAAAGTTGCCTGGGTGACTTTGGAGCAGTCTCTCAACTCAACCATCCCCACAGAATGATTGTGATGAATGTAGATAGGGCTGGAAGAGACCTTGGAAGTCTAGCCTGACCCACTGTTCAAAGCAGGAGGCATTATAACATCCTGATTAAATGGTTGTCCAGTCTTTTTTTGAAACCACCTCTGATGGACCACCCACAATTCTGTGACACTTAATCCTCTTCAATAGGCTAGACATTAATTCCCTCAACCGTTCATCATATAATTTAGCCTTCATATTCTTTCAGTACATTCTTGCCTATTTTGACTTGTACGCTGTTCTATTTTCCTTGGTGCTACTTTTTAAAGGTTGGTCTATTATAAAATATTCAAAGAAAGAATTAAGCAGTTCTGCTTTTTCTCTTTTGCCAGTCATCTTGCCATCTGCTCCCATTAGTGGAGCTATCGTTTCCTTGACTTCTTGCATCTTACATATTGAAAGAAACTTTATTATTTTTCACATTAGTTGCCAGTCTTAGCTCACTAGGGCCCTTAGCTTTCCTGACTCCCTCCTTGCAAATTTGGGCTGTTTGCTGGTATTTTTGTTTAATTATATGCCCTTTCCAATTTTTTTTATTTTGACCTTTTTTTTCACTCAATCTGTGAGAGCTTTTTTTGCAACCTTGCTTGTCTCCTTGGGTATCTTGTTTTTCTTTCACTGCGTTATTGCCTTTGTCTCATTTTTTAGGGTTTCACAAGCATCCTTGTGGGCTTTCTATCCATGGAATCCTTCCTAATCTCTTGAAATTAGCCCTTAAAAGTCTAAAACACTAATTTGACTTAGCTTCCTGTTGTTGCATTATGGTGAATTAAAGTATATGATCATTCTCCAAAGTTTCTATAGCTTCTACTCTCAACCATGTTGTCCCTATTAGTAAGAATTAAGTCTAGGTGTCCCTCTACTTTTCTCCTCTACCTTTTGCATGCTAAAAATGTCAGCTAGGCACACGAGCCTGTTTGATCTCCCACTCCCTGCAGAGTTGATGTCAGGATAAAAGTCCCTCATTACTATTCTTGCACACTTCAGCTAACTGATCTACAAAGAGTTCATCTATTTCCTCTTGGCAGGTTGGATGACCAGTAGTGCACACCTATAACAAGAGTCTATAATATTTAGCCCAACTATGAGGAAGGCTTTCTTCATTGTGTATTTCTATGGAAGTGTATTAATAACTTCTATACAATGTGACTCCCCACTCTTTGGTTCTTTTTTGGTTAGATGCAGGAGTATTAGGGATTTTCACTGCCTTGTATCTAGATCAAAGAATACTATGACAAAACAGCAGTCTGAAGTGTTCTGATCATTTAAAAATGGTGTGCTGCAAAAACAAAAAATGGGGAAAGTTGGTGCATGCACAAAAACACCTAAAGCCTACTAAGACTAGGCCTGCACTGGAATCATTTAACAATATAAAAATGTTTCAAAAGTAGTAAATATGCTTGCCTTTTCTGTGGTCTCCACGGTTATCAGACCCAAGCCCAAAGAAATCTGTTCAAATTCAATCCTTTATTTGCTTACACCTAATGGACAAAACGTTGCCAAACTAAAGCCCTAACTTCCTTACTTAAAACGAAATACATTCTGAAGATATTCTAGGGTATGGCTATTCTGGATCTCTTCCCCCATCCTGCTCAGATATGCAGAGTCCCTTAATCCAGGCCTCTTTCTGGGAAAACCATGCTTTTCAAAACTTCCCCCACTGCTCCCGCAAGTGCACATTCCATCGCCATGGTAGTGCATTCATGTATTGCCTGCCTATAAACCAGATAGGTTAATCTCTCTTAGATGTGGCAGCATTAAAAGATTTTGTCCCTTATTCCAACAGCATCTAAGAACAGCCTTGCTGTATATAAAATCAGTTGAGCTTTGTTGCCAATTACCTTGGAGAGAAATTGGCAGGCTTTAAGATGAATACAAGGGACAGCAAATGTTGTATTTGCCAACTCAAAGGAAGGCAGGTAGCACTTTAATTCAATAGAATAAGAAGATTTCAATTTCTTACATCAAATGTATGTTCTAACCCTTACCTTATGTTCATCCTATCATGTAAGTAAAAGCTTAATGAATAAAACTGCTGCCTGAATTAATGTTTGTATTTGCCATTGCAGTATAGAAAGCAGAAAGGCATCTTAACACAGATAAAGCCTGTTTTATCAGTTGTTAAACAAAATATTCTAAGAAAAAAGGGGATATTGAAATTACTGCTACAACCCAGCTGAATTTAAAAGCATGAAATCCACATGTTCCTTAACTGGGGAGGGTTGCTGTATAGTTTATAATTCATTTCATGTTAATCTCAGACAATACACCATTTGCTGAAAATACTGATTTACACCATCCTGCAAATATGCAGCTACCCCATCTTAGTTATCAAAACGGTGTGATCTGTTACAAATAAAACTTGCTGCAAAAGGATTGGAGTAGAATTCAAATTATGTTGGTACACTAAGATTATAGGTACAATTAGCACCATTTTACCTTGTGCACTAAGATCCTGAGGTCTCATTCAAGACCAGCCTAAAACAATTTTCTGCATTGAACAGAAACAAAAAAAATCACAGCACAAGTTCTTTTTTTAAAAAAATAATTTTTATTAATTTTCTTTTCAACATCGTAAAACATGGTATCAACAAAGTTCTTAGCATCTATAAAAGATTTTGCTTTAAATATATATTATATTGCATTTATCTACTATTAAATAATATCTTTAGCTATAATTACTATTATATCTTTATATAATTTACAAAATTTTATTTTACTTTCTTAAGGGTTGTTTCAATTAACATTTTTGTCTCACTTCTTGGTTCCGTATGTTAGCCATTTATACAAATTGTTCCAAATTGTAAAGAATTCAGAATCATCTTTTTCTTTCAATTTCATTGTTAGCATAGTCATCTCAGCACTTTGTTACTTTGTGTATTATTAGTTCTTCATTGGGGGTATTTGGTGTTTTCCATACCTGCACAAAGGCTATTCTGGTGGCTGTTATAATATGTAACATTAGTATTTTACTTCTTTCGGTAGTCTTTCTTTAATGATTCCTAATAGGAAGGTTCTGGTCTGAGCTCAATCTGATAGCCAGTGATCTCTTTTAACCAATTTTTAATTTGAATCCAGTATGTCTTGGCCTCGGGGCACATCCACCACATGTGATAAAATGTACCATCAACTTTTTGGCACTTCCAACATTTAGGACTCATATTGGAGTAGATTTTTGCCAATCTTGTTGGGGCTAAATACCACCTATAAAACATTTTATATATGTTTTCTTTGTATGTGGCAGATACCGTTAATTTATAATTTATATTCCATATTTTTTCCCATTCCTCTAGTTCTATAGTGTATCCAAAATTCTGTGCCCATGCAATCATTGTACTTTTGACTATTTTCTCTTCCATTTTAAAATCTAATAAATGTTTATATATTTTAGTTATAAGTTTTTGTTCCAGTCCCATTAATATTTTATCTAGTTGGTTCTGCCCTTTGTCAAATCCAAAATCTTTTGAGTCTTTTTAATATTTATTTTGTTGTGGGTCTAATAAGTCTTTGTATTTAATCATTTTAGTAAGCTCCAAATTGTTTGGGTGAATCATTGCCTCCATTGTTGAAATCCATACTGGTACTTTTGTATAATGTTTTTTCCTTATTTTCCTCCAAATTGTTAATAGTGCGTCTCTAATTAAATGTCTATGGAAATATTTTTGACTGGTTTTCCCTACGTCCCATAGAAAGGCGTGCCACCCCCTTTGTAAATCATGGCCTTCTAGAAATAGTATTCTTTTATTGGTTAAACTCACCCAATCCTTCAACCAAACTAATGAGGTGGCCATATGGTATAACTCCCAGTTTGGAAATGCTAACCCTCCCCTGCTCTTCATATCCTGCATTGCTTTTACATTTATTCTGGGTTTTTTCCCTTGCCAAATAAATTTCAGAGTTGTTCTATTGAGTTCTTCAAAAAACTTTTTATGTAATTTAATTGGGATCGTTTGGAATAAATACAAAAATTTAGGGAGAATGTTCATTTTGATAGTAGCAATTCGGCCTAGTAGTGAAATTTGAAGTTTCCCCCACGATTCTAAATCTTTCTTTACCTGATGTATCAGCTTATCATAATTGTTTTCTTTAAGTGTCTTACAGTGTGGGGTTAGCCAAATTCCTAAATATTTCACTTTCTTTGTCACTTGTATCTGCATTATTTCTTCTAGTTCTATTTTCTGTTTTTCTGTTAGG